CTCCCCTTTTCTTAAAAGTATAAAGATAGATCTCTAATGTGAGCTTGTTTCTTTGCCAAGACTTTGAAATCTGCTCTTGCATGAGCTCCTGTGTGCTGTACTCACCCATCTTCTACACACTCTCACCTACATGCACACACAGGCAGCACCACCGCAGACCTGGAGACTAGCTGTTCTCTGCCCTCCTCTGGAAACCTCAAGCACCAGACCATTCATTTCTACTGCTCCTACTCCCTGGGCTCTCCTCCTGTCCACAAAGCTTTGCTCAACTTCCAGAGTGTTACACCTGAAGCCCCTCAATAGCCTGATGTTTGGAAAGTCATGGGAAAGCAGCTCTAGAGAAGGAACCACTTAAGAATTTAACGTGTGCTGCGTTTTGCTTATGTTGCTAGGAAACATTTCTTTCCAGGCTGTGGATTTCTAATGAAACTTTCCACTTCCTTAAGAAATAATACCTTTAATCTTCATAAGCAATAGAGGTTCCCTCGAGAGTGGGAGAGGTAGAGAGGGGCAGAAGGTAACTGAGGGAGACCCCATACCTGGAGCTCTCTACCAACCCATTCTAGGCAGTGTGGACAGAGGCTATGGACAAGGTGACACCAGCCCTGAAAAACTCAGTGGCCACCCTCACCTGAACATGGCATGCGAGTATTTTTGTTTTTAATGAACTCATCTGTTGTTTTGCCTCAGAGGAAGAAAAGGATATGGCAGTACGGGACCGTGGTCTCTTCTATTATCGCCTCCTCTTAGCTGGCATTGATGAAGTTAAGCGGATCCTATGTAGCCCTAAATCTGACCCTTCTCTTGGACTTTTGGAGGATCAGGCAGAAAGACCTGTGAATAGCTGGGCCTTAGACTTCAACACGCTGGTGCCAGTATATGGCAAAGCCCGCTGGGCAACCATCTCTAAATGCCAGGGGGCCGAGCGTGGTGGCCTAGAGCTTCCCAACACTGCATCCTTGGCCGCATCAGGTAAAATAGTCCTTGCTTTATATCTTGTCACAAAACATTGTTATCTTTAGCAATGACTAATAGAAAGTAGAATACCCTAAATCTCAGACTGTTGCCTGAACTTGTGAGCAAGGAAGAAGTTCATCATGGGCTCTGTCAGGCATTTATCCAAAGATGAAAGTTACATTGTATACTCTTGGGAATCTGGGTAAAAAAAAAAATGTAGTTTCTATAGATTTAAGAACATCTCTTAACACAAGTTCTATGATTCTTTTAGGACCCCTGATTCCTGAAGAGGACAAGGAGAGGGTACAAGAACTCTCTGATTCTGGAGCCCTCATGCTAGTCCCCAATCTCCAGCTTACTGCTGAGTATTTTGAGAAAACTTGGCTTAGCCTCCAAGTTGCTCATCAGCAGGTGGTCCCTTGGCAGGGAGCAGTCCACCCAGACACCCTCCAGATGGCCCTGCAAGTGGTGAACATCCAGACCATCGCAGTGAGCAGGGCTGGGGCTCAGCCATGGAAAGCCTACCTCAGTGCTCAGGACGACACCGGTTGTCTGTTCTTAACAGAGCTGCTGTTGGAGCCTGAGAACTTAGAGATGCAGATCTCCGTGAAGCAGAGTGAGGCGAGGACGGAGACACTGAGCAGTTTCATTTCTGTGTTAGAAACTGTGATTGGAACAATTGGAGACATAAAACCGTAAGAGTTCTACTACCTGTCCTGAGTGAGAAGAAGAGCTCTCAGAGTTCCTTGATTTTTCTTATTGCAAATGCTTGTAAGTCCAGAGAATATCAAATGCGAAGGGGGTTGGGAAATCTAGGAATCAAGATTTTTATGTTTTTGTCCAAAGGCCATCAAATTATTCCTCTCAGACTTGCTGTTGAATGACCCCATTTTTCCAGTTGCTGTTGTAAAGGGTAGTGGTGGTGAGGGGATAGGAGTGGGAATCAGGATAGGGTGTGGATTCTTTTCTACCCAGTTTAAGGGTGTTTTACTAATTAAAGGGGCCTGATGTGTGTGGAAACTGGAGTCATCATTGGTGGGCATCATTTTCTCTTCTGGATTATTGCAGGAAATTTCTGACTATTCTCATATTTCTAATCATGCTTCTTAGGCCAGAGTTCAAAGTCTTCTGTGTCATGTCTCACCACTCCCCAAGCACCCTGTAGGCAAAGCGAGCCACTTGCAGTTCCCTGAATACACCAGGCTCTCTCACCTCTGCTTTGACACCTGCTTTTATTTTTTGCCTAGAACATTTTCTCACCTCAGATCTTTATTTAAGTGACACCTAGTCTATCAGTGTTCAGACCCTGAAAGATAGAGTAGGTGAAAGTTTTGTGAGCATCACAGAAAACTTCCCCGTGACCCTCACTGCCTTCAGGAAGGGTCTCCTTCACACTGTCAAAGCAATGAGTACATTTGTCATTGTTATTGCTGTTGCAGTACTATTGTCACTGCTGTCTTGTCATTCTGCCTCACTTTTTTTTTTAAGTGATATAAATGTATTTTGGAAGCTGCCTGTGCATTCTCCAGTGAAGAGCCAGCACTCAGGGCCTCCCATGCCCACCCACATCCTCCAGTGTCCACAGACCCATCCCACTCCCTCTGTCTCTTTCTAGGGTGTCTCACAAGTGCCAAGAGGGGTCTCCAGGGAGATAAGGGGGGAATATCAGAGGTCTAGGTGGCAGCTGTGGCAGTGGCAGCATCATGCCTCAGGGCTGAGGGTCAGGAGACTTATCTCCAGCCTGGCACCTCAGGGCCATGGGAACATGGGGTGTCGGGGGCGGCCTCTGGAGGACACACAGGCTGGAATTGGGGATCTGGAAAAGTGCCAGTAACCTACACCTCCGACTTCGCTCTTCCCTGACCATCCCAGACCTATTCAACTCCCACACACCTAAGAAAACGGGATGGAATGAGTGCTGGGCACCAGGGAGAGGTGGGAGGTGGGGCATGTGGGAGGTGAGGTGTGAGGAGGATGGAGAGAGGTAGAGGTATCTGAACCCAAACAATGCCCCTCCGACCCCTGTCACTATAATCAGGAAGGGGGTTGGTAGAGGAGGCAGAAGGTCAGGAGGACCAGGGAAGGGGCAGGTGTCCCATGGCTTTAGCGGGGCCTGCTAACAGCCCAGCAGCTCCACATGCAGAGTAATTCGGTTGTGCCAGGCTATGGGCAGGATGCACAAAAAGCAAGCCAAGAAGGGCATCTCAAATGTTCTTGTGGGAATTATTGTCCTAGTTGCCTGGGAAGACCTTGCCATCTACAGCCCCTGGTTCCTGTACTGTCCTGTTCACGCACTCATCACTGTGGGCCACCTTGTAGGCTGCCACACTCGGGATGTGGCCAACATTTCGGGCCCCTTGCATGATATCTGTCACTCCCTTCTAGGAGCCCCGCACTCGAAGGCAGAGTTCCTCTCAGCAGTCCAGATATTGAATTTGCCCTGCCTTTTCAGCCATGCATAGAGGGAAACCAGCTGAAGGAACTCAGGCTCCAGGTCCTGTAGATGCTGGAGGCCATGCTCTGCTTTTGGGGATGGTGTTGTCCTTCTTCCTTCGGTCTCAGGGATTCGGCACATCCATCCAACTCACAGCCAAGGAGCTCAAAGCATGTACAAACTTCTAGAACTGTCCTGGGCCAGTGAAGCAACTCCCCTCGATGCCATTAACTTCTGGGGAAGAAAGGTTACAAACTGATTTTTATTGATCTCAGGAAATGAGAGGGGGGAGAGAGAGAAATATCAGCGATGAGAGAGAAACATTGATCGCCTGCCTCCTGCACGCTCCCTATTGGGGATCAAACCCACAAACCAGACATGTGCCCTGACTGGGAATTGAACTATGACCTCCTGGTTCAGAGGTCAGTGCTCAACCACTGAGCCATGCTAGCTGGGCATGTGCTGCTTTTTTAATTGGGAGGAAGATCGTCTCTGCAGAGGCTGCCCCTGAGGAACAAGGGGTCTCAGCCCCACACCGGACCCCCAGCCCAGGCTTCCAGAGCTGGGAAGAGAAGTCACCATAACTACAGGCTGTAAACACCAGCAGGGATTGTGACAGACACACAGAGGCTGCTGGAGATGCAGCTGATCCTTTTAAAGGGCCAGCGCACAAACGTACTTAGACTTGATGCCTCTGAGCTCCAGCACTTGAGTGGCTCTTGGGGACCCAGACACATATGGAGAGGAACTGGACTGTTTGGAATTGGGGCAGAAACTCAGGAGTGGCTTTCCACCAGACGGGTGCTCGAAAAGGTCATTGTTCCTATGCTGGGACCTCCCCTGTCACAGGGCTGACTGGGAGCCATAGCTGAGTCTCAGCCTGCCCACACTGTTTGCTCCACTCTGGGGATTCCCTGAGACCCCACCCTGTCCAATCTACAGCCCCACCCAAGCCATTTGCAGCAGCTTTTCTATGTGAATGGCCAGTTCTGGCTCAGGCCTCAGACTATGCTAAAATCTCTCAGACAAACTACCGCTGGTGACAGCATGCTTCAAACCCATCAATAAAAGGCCCAAGGCCCAGCACTAACACCAGTTTGCCTTGCTTCACAGCCTCTTGCACAACAGTATTCCCCCACTGTAGCTGCAGCTGGTCCTCACAGCCAATTGGCCTGGAGGTCAATTCCTCCCAGTGACACCAACAGCAGTCAAGGCTCAACTATAAGACTGTGTACACAGCCCACACAGGGGCATGTCTAAACTGCCCAGCTCAGGTGACTGGGGAGGTACAGGACACCTACTATACAAGGCCACTCTCCCAATTCCAGGAGACATAGTACATAGAAACTAGTACATAGAAACAAACACAAGGAAGCAGCCAAAATGCAGAGATAAAGAAACATGTCACAAATGAAAGAAAAGGAAGCAAGCAAATTACTGGATACAGAGTTCAAAACCATGGTTATAAGGTTACTCAAGGATCTTGATAAGACTTTCAAGGATCTTAGTGAGAATGTCAAAGACATAAAAAAAGTTCCAGTCAGAATAGTGAGAATGTCAAAGACATGGAAAAAGACCAGTCAGAAATTAAGCATACATTAACTGAATTAAAGAATAATTTACAAGGATTCAGCAGTAGAGTAGAGGATTCTGAGAAATCCATGTTTTTTGATATGAGGAAGCAAAAAACACCCAATCAGAAGAGCAAAAAGAATCCAAAAATATGAAGAAGGTGTAAGGAGCCTCTGGGACAACTTCAGGCATACCAACATTTGCATTATGGGGTCACCAGAAGAGAGAGAGCAAGATATTGAAAATCTATTTGAAATAATGACAGGAAACTTTACTTACATGGTGAAAGAAATAGACTTACAAGTCCATGAAGCACAGAAGAGTCCCAAACAAAAGAAGCCCAAAGAGGCCCACACCAAGACATACCATAATTAAAATGCCAAGGGTTACAAAGCAGAATCTTAAAAGCAGCAAGAAAAAAGCAGTTATCTACGAATAAAGAAGCAAAAAACACCCAACTGGAAAAGCAAAATGAAAAAAGAATCCAAAAGTATGAAGAAGGTGTAAGGAGCCTCTGGGACAACGTCAGGCATACCAACATTTGCATTATGGGGTCGCCAGAAGAGAGAGAGCAAGATATTGAAAATCTATTTGAAATAATGACAGGAAACTTTACTTACATGGTGAAAGAAATAGACTTACAAGTCCAGGAAGCACAGAAGAGTCCCAAACAAAAGAAGCCCAAAGAGGCCCACACCAAGACATACCATAATTAAAATGCCAAGGGTTACAAAGCGAGAATCTTAAAAGCAGCAAGAAAAAAGCAGTTATCTACGAAGGAGTGCCCATACAACTATCAGCTGATTTCTCAACAGAAACTTCACAGGCCAAAAGAGTGGCAAGAAATGTTCAAAGTGATGAATAGTAAGGACCTTCAACCAAAATTACTCTATCCAGCCAAGCTCTCATTTAGAATGGAGGGTCAGATAAAGAGCTTCACAAACAAGAAAAAGTTAAAGGAGTTCATCACCACCAAACTAGTATTATATGAAATGTTGAGGGATATTATTGAAGAAGGAGGAGGAGGAGAGACTAAAAATATGAACAATAAAATGGCAACAAATACATATCTATCAACAATGGAATCTAAAAATCAAAATAAGCAAACAAGAAATCTAATTAACAAATAAACTGGTGAATAAAACAACCAGAGGCATGGAAGCATGGGACAGACTGGCGAATCTCAGAGGGAAGTGGGGAGGAGAGGATGGGAAGAGATTAACCATAGATCTTATCTATGGACACAGTAGGTGGTGAAGCCCTGGGGTGGGGCAGGAACTGGGTGGAGAGGGCTATGGGGGCGGGGAAGGACATCTGTAATACCATCAAAGATTTTTATAAAAGAAAATTAGGTATGGCTCAGCAATTGAATAAATGTTACTGAAGGATTCCCAACTATTGGTTGCTTTTTTGTCGTGTAAGGGGCACAGTAGAATATGAAACGGTTGCTTTTGAAAAGTGTAATTTTAGGATGTTAATGAAGAGCTGATTGAACTGTAGCCTGGTTTTATTACTTAATAAGCAAAATCACTAAACCATGCATATCATGTAGTTATTTATTATTATTTCTTCCCCCTAGCCTCTGCAGACATACGGTTTTTTGAACTCCACCCTCCCTTTTGAATGGGAGTTCTGTTACACTTTTTCTACCCCTTGCTCATATATTGGGTGTTTGGGGAAGACAAATAACTTATTTTCTTCGTTATAGGTTTCCACCTTGAGAGGAATTGTATCCAAGGATTCTCATCCACGTGTGGACCTGGTATGTGCACATAACAAGATCCTGGACTTGGAGCCAGTGAAACGATATAATGAGAAGAGGCTTTCGGGAGAAAAATGTAAATTGTGGTCAGAGTGGCAAAAAAAGCAAGTGATAGTGAAAAAAACCTGGCTTCATTTTTCAGTATTAATTAGGAGTCCAGTATTAGAAATGCAAGAGTGAAAGGTATGTGGGCTGGGGGTGGGGTGTGGGGATGATTTCAGAGGCCCAAAAAGAAATTAAAAAAAGAAGGTTGGTTTCACATTGCCCAGGAGAGTGTATACTCTGCTTTTATAGCCTCACAATATTCATTATAGAAGACTAGAGGCCCAGTATAGGAATTCATGCATGGGTGGGGTCCGGCCAAAGGTTGGCTGGCCAGCCCCACCCCCTGGTTGAACTCTGGGTCGAGGGGACAATTTGCATATTAACCTTTTATTATATAGGATTAGAGACCACAAATGGCATTTGCCCATAAGCATATCAGTAGTGAAATGAGGAAGGTGGGAAAAGGTCACTATTTGAGACTTGGTTTCTATTCTACCACTTACCTCAGGCAAGCTATTTTACACATTTTTTTTGTTTTGTACATTATTTTAAAAGTATGTTGTAAATGTATGTGTTGGAATCCTTAGATTGTTTATGAAAGGAGATTGGCCTAGAATTATCTCTGAGGTACATTCTTCTTTTTTTTTTCCCAATAAGAGTTTATTTGAGCCAAACTGATGACATATGCTGGGAGCAAGATCTCAAATTATCTGTGAGGGACCTTCTGACCCTAGAGGTCTGAAGCCTACATAGTAGTAACTGACATTTCAACCCTGGAGACAGATAATGACAAATGAAAATGGCTCTTTAGCTACCTAATTCCCGTTCCTAGTGCAAAGCATATAGAATCATTTGTTTTTATAGAATGAAATAGAAAACAGAAGACTGACTCTGATTATTTTGCAAGACAGAAATTCCATTCTGAGCAACGGCCTTACTGTTCATGCTTGAATCTCTTATTAGTTCACCAGGTCAGAGTACCCCAGAAGAGCTGATAGGTTTGTGTGCTGCTTCTGGGACCCAAACCCAATATCTAGGTATAGCTGCATTAAGAAGGAAGCCACTGTGGGCAAGTGTCCAATCCTGAGACCCTGTAAAACAGTGGGGGAGTCTAACCCTTTTAGGAAAATCCTACTTAATCCTGTTAAAGAGTGAGTCCCAGATCCCTTTCATCCTGGTCATTGGGCCTTGGGCTGAAAGGAAGACATTTAATGTTTACTGCATGTCAGACACTGCTGGGTCATTCCACATAACATTATCTTACTTAATCCCTGTGAAATATTTTGTATTATCTCCAGTTACAATGCCTCAAATGCCCAAGTTGTGTGTGTATGTGTATGTTTCTAAAATGAACACAACTTGTCCTTCAGTGCTCATCTCAGATATCACTACTTCAAGGAAGCTTTCCTAACCCCTTAGGTTTGTTTCCCATTTATACACTAACTAGAAGCCCGGTACACGAATATGTGCACAGGTGGGGTCTGGCCAGCCTGGCTCGATCGGGGCCAATTGGGCTGGGCAGGCTGGGGGGAGGGGCCTAGGGCAGTTGGCCAGCCAGCTCTGCCCCCTGGTTGAACTCCTGGTGGAGGGGACAATTTGCATATTAGCCTTTTATTATATAGGATAACACACTGTATCCCAATAAGCACAGCAATTATGTGGTTACTTATTTAACATCTGTCACTCATGCTAAAGTACACTTTAGCTCAATGAGAACGGGGACTTTGTCTCTGTCATTGTTCTGTGTTATTTGTAGTGCCAAGTCTAGTTCCTTACACATAGCTACTCTGTAAATAATCACTGTGATTTTGGCAAATCATTAGGATTTCAATGCCTGTCTATTAAGCTTTAGAACCTTTCTTCTTTAAGGACCACAAAGGAAGTATTTCTTAATGAAATTACACAAGCGGCTCTTCCTCAAGTCTATCTCAGTGCAAAATTGGCAACCTAACTATACAGTTATTCATTAACTTTAGATATACTGCTGAGGGTGTGGTTCTGAGAAAAGGAACTGAAAGTCTTCAGCAGATCTCCCAGTACGGGATGGTAAGCTCTTCAGAGCAGTCCCACATATCTGAGCACCTGTTTTTGAAGAAAGTTGGTGGGAAAGGCTCTAAGGACTCTGTGTCCCATTAGGGAACTTTACAAGAGATGAACACATCTGCTCGTTTACCAGTGTTTCTGACTTCCCGCTGAACTGAAAATTGCTTGTTTGGTGGAAAAACAAAACTTGGCAGCAAATCTCTAAAATGCCCCCCAAAACCTTTGAGGAGCAAACAGAATGCATCATGGACTTTCTACTCACAGACTTAGGCGTACCTCCGAAGATGTTTAACCAGGGCCCAAGTTTTGGAGCAAACAGAATGCATCATGGACTTTCTACTTAGAGACTTATTAGGCGCACCTACAAAGGTGACTAACCGGGACCTATGTTGAACCTGAACTTGAAACAGATTCAGGTAAGGCTCCTGGCCTGCAGTGGTGATTGCAGGGCCATAGGAGAATGGAAGTATGTTTTCTTATTTCTGTTTAAGTTTCAATAGGCAGACTCTAAGCTTTCAGCAATACCTGCATCTTTATTTTTGTTAATATATTTTTATTGATTTCAGAGAGGAAGGGAGAGTAAGAGAGAGCGAAACATCAATGATGAGAGAGAATCATGGGCCAGCTGCTTCCTGCACACCCCCTACCGGGCATGTGCCCTGACTGGGAATCGAACTGTGACCTCCTGATTCATAGGTTGATGCTCAACCAGCCAGGTTCTGTCCAGGATCTTTTGCCATGTTCTCTCCAGTGAAGTTCTTCTGTCCCTAGGTTCTGTGTAGGTTCTGTCTTCTAAGTTCTGTGTCTAACCCCTTAGGTTTGTTTCCCAGTTATACACTAACTAGAAGCCCGGTACATGAATTTGTGCACAGGTGGGGTCTT